TAAATCCGAAGCTCCACTTGTTAAAATAAAAGTGTTGGCACAATAAGGCACCCAGACTAACATCCTGCTTGCTAAACCGCCGGACACGACAAGGGGGAAAAAAAAAAATAAAAATCGTGTAACTGTACCACATCCTTCTGCAGTAGTTCTAAGGAACTCTCCAGTGAGTAGCTGCAATCTCGCACACTTCATAGTTATTGGTCATAACCGGTACCACTTCAGCCACCTCAAAAAGTGCAGACTTTTTCTTCTAAAAAGGAAAGGGAAAAAAATCACTCCTAAAAAGCAGAAACTCCACAGCCAAATGAAAGGAATTAGGCCTATTCAGTAACAGGCACATTCACCCTAACCGATGCATGTTTTCTTGTTTAATAATGTTTAAGATTTAAACTGCTCTTCTTTGTTTTAAAACATTACTGATAAAGCTCATTAGGATCAAGGCTTTATTTTGTGTGGATTCAATCACAAAGAAAGATAAAATGAATGGGAGAGATGACATCTTACTGAGAAATGGCTGTTTATTCCGTGTTACTGCCGTTACAAAAAAATTATGAACGCCATTTGTCCACACATGTTAATGTGATTAGTCACTGGCATTTCAAACTATGCAGAAAACAGTCATTTACTTAAAACATGACACAAAACCCAAGGTTAACTGCCCCTATAACCCAGTAAAAAATAACCAGTTAAAGCTTTATAATGACTAAATCAGTAATTGATATATTATATTTAAAAAAGCTCCATGTATAAATTACTATACAGGCAGAGGAGTGGGAACTGGGTGGGGGGGGGACATGCATCCCTCCCAATAGCTAATATGGCTTCATTCATGCCCCCCAATACACAGACCTTTTAATTTAAGTTGTGTGCTGTATACAGCCTTATCAATTTTGTATTCTTTTGACACAAAAAGCCCAGTGAGATACTGGGAAGGCAGAACGTGTACATTTTGCTCTGTGTTTTTTACCATGAAAAAAATTCAGATACTTAACATATTAATTACTTAATTTGGTTTCCATTAAAAATCTCAGTACACTTGTGATTTAATTCAGGTTAAATACATCGTACTACACACCAGTGAGTCCAACTTGCTTGTTTGGGAATTCAGTGCATTTCAGCGTGTGCCAGATTTGCACTTAGTGCTAAACAGGAATTTTATTCCAAAATAATCCTTCCATAAAAAAATAATAAAACCTCGTCTGTAGCTAGTACCCACTTGTGGCCACCTGTTACTAAATTAAAATTAATATTAATTTATACCCTCAGGATATTGTACTCCACACATAATCATACTCCACTTCATTGAGTCTTTCCTGAACAGCTGCATTTGGAAGATTTATGGCCCATTAACTTGAAATGCTGAAAAGACCAAGAATTCTTTGAATATTCTTTATCTCCAGCCCTGATAACTTTCCAGCACCTAATTTAACTGGCTAATTAATCAGCAAGGTTTTCATGAGCTGCATCATCTGAAATGATGATTTTTTTTAGTTATATAATAGCTTTTTTTTTTACAAACTCTTCGTAGAACAATCACTTTAAACATTCCAATAAATCTTTTTACTATCACTATGTTATAATCAGGTATGTAAATAAACAGGTAGTACAAGGTTATAAAGCACATTATTTCATTTTGTCATATGCAAAATATTAATAATCATAAGGTTAAATGAGCATGATTTGGTAGAATCTATTTGTTGAACTATGTAGAAAATATAGAGCATCTACAGTAGTAATATTGGAGGAATCTTTTCTAAATACAAGTATTAAAAATAATTCATACATAATATAATAATGCATATAAAATTTCGTGTACAATGACCGAATCTCTGAAATCATCCTTGCTTCCTACACTGCATTCAGCTTCTTCTTGATGTAGGTTCCCACCAGTATCTGCGGACGTAGCTGGTAATCGTGCAGTTGGTCATGGGAGCTTGTCAGCTGATCCCCTTCCAGACGGTCCAACAGCGTGACACACACAATGGCACCTGGAAGGTGGAGGACGGAGGGCACAGAATACAGCGCTACAGGACAATGCTCTGACATCATCGAAGGTAACACCTGAGGAACAGGTCAGGTTTGAAACAGGGAAACTCCCAGAAAAAACAAACATCTCAAGCCATGAAGGTCCCTCACAATACAAGTGTCCTCTACGCAGATGCAGTAAAATCTTGCCAAGTGATGAAACGCTTCTTCACCATGACATAGAATTTTGTGAATTTTAAGTTACTGTGTAAAATAAAAACTAGGAGCTTTCAAAAAAAAAAAGTTTCTGGGTCCCTTAAGTTATTATCTTATGTCACATCATGGTGATCAGACCTGCAGGCTGCTGAAAAAGGGGGGACAGTTAGGACGATTCCAAGGGCCCCTGACTGACATGCTTTCATGGGGCCCAAAATCTCTAATGACACCCCTGCAGACCCGTCATTACAAGTAATAAAGTAATACACTTGCGGCCTATTGTGTGTGTGTGTATATATATATATGGCATACACACACACACAGGTTTGTAATGATATCTTTGTGGGGACTCTCCATTCATTTCTATGGGGAAAATTGACCTTAAGCCCTACCCAGCCCTAACCATAAGTAACCAAACAAAATAGGAGACTTTTGGCGATTTTAGTGCATATAGACACACATACAAACACATTAAAGATGCCACAAACCTAACAAATAGCTATAGACACAAAAGACTAAAACCTTTGGGAGCAGTGTACCTTGAAGGCCACTCAGCTTACACATGGCGGCAAACGCAGTGGATTCCATCTCGATGTTCCGGACACCGGCCTGGTAGGCCTCTGTCAGGTAACCCTGCTTGTCCGCCTCAGTGTAGGAACAGAAAGCACCATCCAGCCGAGCCTGACCTGGAGCCAGATGACATCATCTCATACGGTGCAACCTTCCAGCATGATGAAATATCTCAGGCTGGACCTAAAGCAGCCACTGACTGCGTCAGTCATCTACACAGCTTTCCTTTTGCTACTCAGGTTTAAGGGTGGTGCTAGTAGAAAAGAATATGTGCAGAGAAAAAGACTGACTATAAATAAAATTATAAAAAATGTGTCATTTTTATCATATACATTCCTTTTCATTTTGGTCAGATTATACATCAGAGTAACCTTATATTCTTCCATAACGGCTAAAGGCTGCGTGTGTGATTGACACCTTCATAAAAGTCCAAGGTGCACATGGTGTTGCCAATGACCGTCTCAAAGTCGTTCAGCTGCTTGCTGCACTGCAGAAGCTCCTCGGCCAGCGTGTCGTCCAGCTCAGTGCTTCTCAACACTTTCTTTCCCAGGATAATCTGCTCTAACTGTGGCACAAAACTGGCATCCACAGACTGCCTGGTGATGACCACGGTGCCTGGCTTGAGGCCTAGGAAGAAAAAACAGAGGACACGTGCAGAGATTGCCAGCATTATGGCAAAAAAAAAACAAGCTTACGGATGATGCACGGTTTCTCCTCCCAGCCTAAGATATGCAATGTGGACATTGATCATTAAAGTTGTCAAAATAACAACAGCTGAATCATATGTCTGAAAAGAGACAGCATGTTCTCTCAAATACCTATAAAAAACCTAAGATACTTGGACAAAATAAATGTGTTCACACATTAGGTCAGCAAATGTGTGTGAACCTGTACCTATGCCGCCGGAAGTCCCAATGCGCAGCACAGTGACGTCAATGCACCGTGCATGATGCAGGAGCTTGATGAGTTCATGCAACATTATTGAGATGGAGGGGACGCCCATGCCATGCTGCAACAGGCAAGAAGACAGACTTTACACCTGAGACTCAGAGCCACAGGTACAGCAAACTCAAGGTTCCCCATTGCGCTGCAGGACATACAATTCAACAAGAGATGCTTTAGCGTTCAGGTAATGGATTTTTTTGGAATGTCCCAAGAACAGTGACACTTTTATTAATCCCCATGAGGAAACTGTCATTTTTTGCTCTCCATGAGACACAGACAGGTGTCAGCAAGTTTGAGCGTTACAGTGAAGGGGCAGCCGCCTTGGCGTTGTTCAGGGAGCTGGGGGTTAAGGGCCTAGTTCAGGGACCCATGGGTATGAGACTATTCAGCTGAGGCCAAGTGGCTAAACCCAGACATTCCCATTGCAGGCAGGCAAAATTTAAAACCGATATTTTTCAATGGAAGCACCTTGTCATTAATGCATGTGAGACTTCACAATGCCGGATAAATAAGGATCAAATAAATACATCTGGCATTAATGAATGAGAAACGGTAAAAGTAGAACACTTACACTGATAGATAAGACAGGCCCCACTTTGAACATGGAGAAGCGGTCGGTACCAGCGCAGATGTTGGGGTATTCGTCCGTTGGGTTCCCCAGGTTAAGTTCTCCAGCAATGAACTGTATGAATGACTTCATTCTCGATGGACTTCCCCCAACACACACAAACTAGCAGACGGTCAACATGGAGCGAGAAGAGAACATTGGGAACTTCAGCTCTGAGTTACCCTGAAGCTGCAGCTCTGGCTGGGCCACAGATCTATGCCCAAATTTGGTTAATTCTATGGACCCCTTCCAAAGAAAAATGCACTGAAGTACATTACATTTATTTATCAGATGCATTTTGTTAAAGTCGGCACAACCGAGGAAAACCTGAGGATGACCTCAGAAAACTTGCTCAGCCAGCAACCCTGGGGCTGTTGGGGTTAAGGGCCTTGTTCTCCAGTCGAATTCGAAGCAACAATTAATTGGCTGTTCATGGAGGAACAGAATCTGAATAATGCGAAAAAGAGCAACTCAAATTAGGTTGTGATGAGTTCTGAAACCCAAGAATAACAGCAATATACAGTAGTGAAGAAAAACAAATCTGGACGTGCTTTGTCAGACATGTAGGGCTGTCACTATCGATTATATCAATAATCAAGCAATCTACCAATTAATCTGAAAATCCATTGAGTAACCATTTATATATAATATTAGAGGAGAAAAGTGAAAGAAAACTGACTAAAAGACACTTGTCTTCTGCTGTGCAGACATATTTCGTATTTCACAGAGACGATACTGAGCAGAGTGATTTGACAGCACTGCTTCGTGTCTGTCACACAGCAATGCCACCAACTTTTTTTGACAGATTCTATTGGTAGATAATTAGTTCTATTTGGTTATATATACCATGTGGACAAAAGCATTGGAACACCTGGCCATTACACGCACAGGAACTTTTATGATATCCAATTCTAAATCTACAGGCATCAGTATGGAGTTGGTTCCACGTGTAAGATGATGCGGCTAAGCTACAGGACTAAACTTTGTTTTAGTGAATTTTTTGACATGTAGGAATTAGTAAATTACGCAAAATGATTTAAGTCACAGTGTTGTCAAAGACACGCTAGGCTACCTGAAGGCGCTAAATGCTGCAAAGGGCATATCTTGCATTATTGGGTGAGTCTGTCAATTTCATATTTTAAGATGCATTTGCTTTGCAGTTGTGCTGTGGTGATGTTTAAGTTCTGCTTTGAAATAATGATAGACTTTTAATGTGAAGTACTTCCACACAGCTGATGTTTTCACTTTTTATTCTGGACCCTCATTGGCTACCCACAGCCTTCCTTCTACCATATTGCCAAGTAATCGAGAAAGAAAATTTGAATGGATGCTTTTTAATAATCCAGTCATCTCTAGAACTATGTCAGTAATCTTGGAATTAATGATTCACTTTTAGATTTTAAGGTTCTGTATAGGCAACATGGTATAGACGTTCACAGTACTTCTGAGATCCAGTGTGTTCTGGCTGTAGGAATAGCTTTGTCATTCTTCACACTGAGCTGCAGAAGTGCTCCTTCATCACTGGGGAATTTGAACAACTGTCTGCCTTCGATCTCCTTCACACCAGCAGCTTGGAAAGTTATGGAATTTTTCCAACAGCATCCGTGACAGAGAATGTGGGGCCTTGAATCAATCGTGTAACCAAAAATATCTGACAAGCAAGCCAAGCCGAGGATGAACTTCCCAAATTCAAAGGCTTCTCAAAGGCTTTCAAAAAAGGAAAATCTTTCACCCAAAGTTCAAGCAAGTGATTCAAGACTTTGGTTCCTAATTCTTGTTAAAACTTCTCAATGGGCTTTGATAAAGTTCAAAGCAGCATTCTCGACTGCCGGTGGGGACAGTGTACAGTGTCAGTATGTTGGTGTCCGGGGCGTGGGGACAGTGTACAGTGTCAGTATGTTGGTGTCCGGGGCGTGGGGGCAGTGTACAGTGTCAGTATGTTGGTGTCCGGGGCGTGGGGACAGTGTACAGTGACAGTATGTTGGTGTCCGGGGCGTGGGGACAGTGTACAGTGTCAGTATGTTGGTGCATTGGCTTAATGCTGAAGGGAAATGCCATGGCTTTAAAATATCATAGTAATGTTAATCTTGGACTGAATACAAAAATATAGGTGAACTTTTCATTATGGTGCAAAGATTAAAATCAGTAACTAAGTTTTGTAACAGTTTATTAAGTGCCTATGCTAAAGGAGCGTAATGGTACAAACTTCGGATTTCAGCTTATGTTTCGGTGCAATTTCAATAGTTACCATTTCGTATAAACATAGGACTATATCTTCAGGAGTTTATTGGACTATGGGATATTCCAGCCTCAGAATCACATACAGCACTAAAGTGGTCACATTAATCATTAACTCAACTTTTACACAGACTGCTCAAAAAAATTAAAGGAACACTCTTTAATCAGAGTACAGCATCAAGTCAATTAAACTTCTGGGATATTGATCTGGTCAGTTAAGAAGCAGAGGAGGTTGTTAATCAGTTTCAGCTGCTTTGGTGTTAATGAAATTAATAACAGATATACTGGAAGGTCAACAATGAGACAACCCCTAAAACAGGAATGGTTTAACAGGTGGAGTTTTGCATTTGGCTAGTCAGTGTTACTACTGGTAGCCCTACACAATGACCTCCAGCAGGCCACTGGTGTGAATGTCTCCGACCAAACAATCAGAAACAGACTTCATGATGGTGGCCTGAGGGCCCGACGTCCTCTACTGGGCCCTGTGCTCACTGCCCGGCATTGTGGAGCTCGACTGGCATTTGCCATAGAATACCAGAATTGGCAGGTCCGCCACTGGCACCCTGTGCTTTTCACAGAGNCAGTATGTTGGTGTCCGGGGCGTGGGGACAGTGTACAGTGTCAGTATGTTGGTGCATTGGCTTAATGCTGAAGGGAAATGCCATGGCTTTAAAATATCATAGTAATGTTAATCTTGGACTGAATACAAAAATATAGGTGAACTTTTCATTATGGTGCAAAGATTAAAATCAGTAACTAAGTTTTGTAACAGTTTATTAAGTGCCTATGCTAAAGGAGCGTAATGGTACAAACTTCGGATTTCAGCTTATGTTTCGGTGCAATTTCAATAGTTACCATTTCGTATAAACATAGGACTATATCTTCAGGAGTTTATTGGACTATGGGATATTCCAGCCTCAGAATCACATACAGCACTAAAGTGGTCACATTAATCATTAACTCAACTTTTACACAGACTGCTCAAAAAAATTAAAGGAACACTCTTTAATCAGAGTACAGCATCAAGTCAATTAAACTTCTGGGATATTGATCTGGTCAGTTAAGAAGCAGAGGAGGTTGTTAATCAGTTTCAGCTGCTTTGGTGTTAATGAAATTAATAACAGATATACTGGAAGGTCAACAATGAGACAACCCCTAAAACAGGAATGGTTTAACAGGTGGAGTTTTGCATTTGGCTAGTCAGTGTTACTACTGGTAGCCCTACACAATGACCTCCAGCAGGCCACTGGTGTGAATGTCTCCGACCAAACAATCAGAAACAGACTTCATGATGGTGGCCTGAGGGCCCGACGTCCTCTACTGGGCCCTGTGCTCACTGCCCGGCATTGTGGAGCTCGACTGGCATTTGCCATAGAATACCAGAATTGGCAGGTCCGCCACTGGCACCCTGTGCTTTTCACAGAGCAGGTTCACCCTCAGCACATGTGACAGACATGAAAAGGTCTGGAGAAGCTGTGGAGAACGTTATGCTGCCTGTGACATTGTTCAGCATGACCGGTTTGATGGTGGGTCAGTGATGGTCTGGGGTGGCATATCCATGGAGGGACACACAGACCTCTACAGGCTAGACAACGACACCTTGACTGCCATTAGGTATCAGGATGAAATCCTTGGACCCATTGTCAGACCCTACGCTGGTGCAGTGGGTCCTGGGCTCCTCCTGGTGCACGACAATGCCCGGCCTCATGTGGCGAGAGTATGCAGGCAGTTCCTGAAGGATGAAGGAATTGATACCATTGACTGGCCCCCACGCTCGCCTGACCTAAGTCCAACAGAACACCTCTGGGACCTTCTGTTTCAGTCCATCCGACGGCACCAGCTTGCACCTCAGACTGTCCAGGAGCTCAGTGATGCCCTGGTTGAGATCTGGGAGGAGATCCCCCAGGACACCATCCGGCATCTCATTAGGAGGATGCCCTGACATTGTCAGGCATGCATACAAGCACGTGGGGGCCATACAAACTACTGAGTACGATTTTGAGTTGCTGCAATGAAATTTTGGCAAAATGGACTAGCCTGCCGCATCATTTTTTCACTTTCATTTTCATTTCCATGCTGCATCCTTCTGTTCCTAACACATTACACAGTCCATATCAATATAGTCCCAATCAGCATGATTTTTTTTCCCCATTGAGATCTGATGTGTTTTCAAAGTGTTCCTTTAATTTCTTTCAGCCGTGTATACAGCAGGGAAAACAAGTATTTGACACATCAGCATTTTTATCAGTAAGGGGATTTCTAAGTGGGCTATTGACACAAAATGTCCACCAGATGTTGCCATCAATCCCACAGAAAATCTATGGAGAGAACTGAAGATCAAAGTTCATAAAAAAGGCCCAAGGAACGTTCAAGATTTAAAGACGATCGTTTGTGTGGAAGAATGGGCCAGAATCACTCCTGAGCGATGCAGACGACTGGTCTCTCCATACAACAGGAGTCTAGAAGCTGTAATCACAAACAAAGGCTTTTCTACAAAGTATTAAATAAAGTGTGTTCAATACTTATTCCCTGTGTCATTTCACTTTATTTATTATGACTCAACTTGTATACTTAAATGTTCTGATTTCTTTGTATGAATTCAATATTTGGCTTGATGGCAACATCTGGTGGACATTTTGTGTCAATAGCCCACTTAGAAATCCCCTTACTTATAAAAATGCTGATGTGTTATTTTCCCCACTGTATAAACGCCAGCACTACATTTGCTTTGGGTTCCAGTCAAAATGGAGCTACAAGTCAGTCATTTATACACACATTGCATAATGTATTTCGGTTTGACCATTAGCATGTTTAACAGAGAAGCTTTAAGATGCCTCACTTACCTTCACGTCCCCAAACATTGCTGGTAAGTCATGTGTTGCTGTTCCCAGGTTAAAATGGTACAAAATATCCTCCTTCATTAAATCTAAGTGTGGATTTTTTATGTAAATGGGATTCAGGCTACAAAAGAGGTACGGGAAAAGGAAGGAAAAAAAAAACACAGGTTTTTTTTAATTCACAACTTGAAATATTTTTATTTAAAACATCTTACTGGAATCATTCCTCTGTTTTTAATATTTTGCAATAAAATACTAACAAGTATGGTCAAATCTGTAAGCCCATTTATAGGGAATCCAGTGTGAACCAGGATGTGCCTTAAATTTCTGTGCTTATGTTAAATTCAGCAGAACACATTTTCTTCATCTCGGGATTATTTGCCCGTCCACACACCGCGGCCTACCTTTTGTCGCCTCCTCTCTGTTCGTCGTTGAAACCAGGGGTCATATTGCTAAAAATAGAATTTTAGAGTTTTACTTTGCTTACTTCAAGATCTGTTCCAAATCACAATTTTCATGTTATCAGTAAATACCCAAACACAACTCAATAGGCCTATGCAACAAAATCACTAGTTGTACTGGAGTTTATTATGAACTGAATCGTGCCATCCAGTACTCCCGTGCAGAGACATTTCCAGGGGCAGGTGCACAAATTCGAGGGGGGGGGGGATCCTCTTTGTAAATTTTGCACCCCCGCCCGTCTGCATGAGCCGGCGATTTACCCTTTGTCACGGCCGTCCCTCCAGCTAGGGAAAATATCCCTATTTTTCGCGACCTCATGTTGGCAATTATGCGGACTGATTTTACTTCTGGACTATCCAGGCACAGAGGCAGGTGTTTACGCACAACACACAATAGTAATTATATAAAAAGATTGCACTACTCGGATGCATGACCAGACTTTGGGTTATGACTCATTTCTCTTAAGAAAGCACCCGCCCTCTTGCTACGAAGATCGTAATCATTAAAAAAAGAGAATGTCAATGTTAACTCAAACAGTCGATAAACGTTAAACTATACTATACCAAATGACGGTTCATTCATTATTTAATAATGATTATTGCTTAGCAACACGCACGTTTCATAACTTTTAAAACATTGTGACCGGAAACTTCAGGACAAATTCCTCAGAAGCGCCAGTAAAACATACTGTACAATTTTAATAAGGACGTTAACGCTCTTCACTGTATACCGGTACGTATTATTTAAGCGAAGAAACCACAACGTGTCCATTGAAAAAGTGGATTAATAAACGACTGCAAACGGATATATAGTTATCACTAATAGACTCAGGCGGAGAAAAGGCGCGCGTTAAAGGGTGATTTGTTTTCAGCATAATTACGGTGCTAGTTTCCTATATGTGGAAATAGCTGGCATGAAAGAAGGTGAACCACGACAACGTACATGCCAACCTCAGGTTTCCTGTTCACTAGTCAGGGTCCATGCCAAGGAAGTTTCTAGCTATTGAAAAGATCAGGGGCTAAGTCAAGTTTACCTGGGGCTTGACTTTTTTGTTTTTGAAGGAAGATTGGCATCGGGACTAAAATACTCAGGGTTATAGCCCCGAGTGATCGTACCTAACGCCCACAGTCCATGTTATTTGGATTTTTTTCACAAAATCGCACATAATATGCCTATAACAAACCATCCCAGTGCAATTACAAACTTACCCTATATGCTGATCGAAGCTGGCTGGAATTGGGTGCGGTACACTACGAGCTTACCGGTCAATGAGCTTCTCCCATCAGCATCCGGCAGCAGCTATATTCTGCATGATGAGTGGTTACCATAAATGATGACGGTCACATCTGTAGGAGGATCTTAAAAACACCAGAGCTCCCAATAGGAAGGAAACGTGGCAAACGATGAGTTTCGTTATCGTTTGCTATTTTAATTAAATACATATTTAAACTCCATATTGTCAAAGTAGCCTACTTAAATGAAGCCATTCTCATCATTATTCTCCACGGTTATTTTTGTACCAGCTTTTAATTCATATATGCGGCACATATAGGTAGCAAGTAGGCCTATAAATGTTTAAATAAGTTTTCACTACACGAAGTCTTTTGATATATTTATATAATAGTTAGATATGTTCATAGCGCCCCCTAGAGGACCATGCGATACTCAAAAAGCAGCGATTCCGGGAATTGACCGATTTCGTGCTGGCCATAGAAGCAGGAAGTTGACAAAACTTATATAAGATAAATTGTATGAAATATTAAAATCTTCCCTCGCCCCTCAAGCTTGTAGTTTTTTACGGAGCCCCTAAGGTGACAAGGGAGCAGAAAAAAAAACGGCAGAAGAAAAAAAAAAAGTCACGTTTTGCGTTATAACCCAAAACTTTTGCGATATAACCCAAAACTTTTCCGTAGTAATGCAACAATAAAATCAGCTAGGTGACTAGCGTACTTTTGGTCATTCAAGTGCAACTTCCAAAGCCGCTGTTTGCATGATGTGGTTGATCCCCGCTTCGCTTATTAATCTAATTTAACGGTTAAAAAAACTTTAGAGTTCAGTGTGGTAAGATTTGATTGTTTAATTCATAATTAGTAATTTGTACAGCAAGCCTTGGTATAGTTTCAGTAACATTGCTAATTAATGCTAATCTGTTGAGGTTGATTTAAGCCTAAAGAATTGTTCGTTTTTTGTTGTTGTTTCATGTTTATAATAAATTAAATAATTAATATAAATCAAACGCACATCCTCTTTTCTCACATGAAGTCCATTTATTCTGCATTTTGCATACATCCATCGATAACCATGAAGCTACACAGAGTGCAAAAGCTGCTCGCGAATAAAGTTAATTACATCACCCAAGTCGTAGTAGTTTTTCCGTTGGAATAATCCCCTTTCACATAAAATCCTCTTAATCTGCCTCAGACTAATGTGAACATCATGCCTAGATCCGAGAACAAACTGAATGTCCATATACAGTGGTATGAAAAAGTTTGGGCACCCATGATAATTTTGTGTTCCAATAATTAGTGCTAAAGGTATTCACATCAATGAAATGACAAGGGTGCCCAAATTTATGCACCTGCCTAATTTTGTTTAAATAATTATTGCACACTTTCTGTAAATCCTATAAACCTAATTTCACTTCTCAAATATCACTGTGTTTGTCTGCTATATGATATATTTAACTGAAATTGCTGATCCAAACAACCAGTGACTCATAAAGGAAAAGCATGAAAATGATCAGGGGTGCCCAAACTTTTTCATACCACTGTATTGTAGACCAAGATCAAAGTAAAATTCGATCAAACGCTATATGTTTTCCTATCCATTATGTTTACACTGACTACTTATACTTCCAGTTCCAAGTCACAACAGTTTTGTCTTATGTTGCAAAAGTTTTGGGTTATATCGCAAAGGTTTTGGGTTATAATGCAAAAGTTTTGTGTATAATGCAACGGTTTTGGGTTATAACACAAAACATGACTTCTTTTTTTTTTCCTCTTCTGCCGTTTTTTTCCTGCTCCTGTGTCACCTTAGGGGCTCCGTATGACATCCTATTGACCGGTTTTTTGGTGATAGTGTAGTCAAATTCTAAGATGTCCATTAACTTTAAATGCAGTAATTAACTGTTTCATCACATGAAACAGCAGTATTTAATGTCCCTTGTAAAAAGAATTCCTCAGATTTTCTCTGCTGTTTTAACCACTAGACTTTTATGAGTCTAAGGTATTTTATTGCTAATAAAGGTACTCAAATGGTGAACATACGGCAAAATTATTTGTTATATTCAGTAAATGTTAAGTGAGTAGCATGCAAATGTAGAAAATCTCAGTGTGTGCAAAAACTTTTGACGGTGTATTACCCCTTATCTGTGGAGTTTTGTACATAATTTAAATGAGGTATTAATTCACTGAATAATTTAAATTGACAGCTGATTATTCAAATTATTGGTGACATTTAAATGGTCATTTCAACGTCACCAGCAACCATTAAAATGATCTGCCAGACACCCATCAAATTCAGTGGGCGGGCTCTAAACAAAACATTACATCTAATTGATTGCATTGCAAACTAAGTCACAACAGATCGATCTAGTCGACTGAATTCTCATTTATAACCGCATTTCGTCTTTTCTGTCCTGGGGTTGCATCCATCCCAACTTCTTCCTCTCATTGCCTGTAAATGTGCTCAGGCAAGACATTCAGTGACATCTGGCTGTTCCTCATATGCAACATGTGTCTGAACCACAAAACCATAGAATCACATCTGCTGACTAAAACATACCTTTAGTGTACTATAAATGCCAAGTTCTGCCTCCGAACACTGAGGTCTAGGGCTGCAACTAATGATTATTTTGATAATCGATTAATCTAATTAATCGCGCACTGTATTAATTGCGCACTGTGTGCTGTGGTGTGTTGACAATGACCACTGATCACTAAATTCTAATTCTAATTCTAATCTGTCGATTACTTTTAATCGGGGGGGGCGAAAACCAATTTGATTTTCAGCTATTTTTAATAACCCAGTCTGTCTTTGTACAAAGGTTGCTTCCAGCAACTCACATAAAAAACAAATGTATGCTACATTAAGAGTATATAAAAAAATTTTGTAGCAGCTGAATCAATGTAATGAAATACAAAAAATCTTGTTTTATGAAGTGCATCCAGCATGGTGCTTTAGATAATGTATTCAGTACTCCAGTTTTTTAATGAAAAAGCACAGACTACCCCTGCTGCTACTAAGAATGTTATTAAATAATTGTCTAATGTTATTTAATGTTGATACACATATGTGACGGGGGGAGAGAGAGCACGCAAGCGAGTGTCTGCATTTATTACGGACAAACAAAGTAAACATTTATTGCGGAGAAAAAGCCTTTTCCTCATTTTACACTAAAAATGCGCCGGCTTGCACTCTCGTGAAACGCCTTAGACTTTAGTGACTGAGCGACGCAAATAAGACGATTGGTGACGAAAAACCCATGAACGGCAGGCGGCAAATTTCGTTTTAAAACGTGTCCGGTTGTTTCAGCATAATACAGTGATGAACTGTACATAAGATAAATAACATAAGGCTATTTAATTTAATAAAAGGACAAGATATAAACCTGTTCTATAGGAAAGGTAGCCTTAAATGACTTCTGTTGTAATTTTGCGCTATATATAAAATAAAATTAACTTGGGGCGCCCCCCTAATAGAATGGTAGGGTAAACACGTTGTGGTATATGTAGCCATATTTGTAGCCACATAATAGCTGATTGTGTTGACAACCACGACTTCCCCTGCGTTCATTTAAACACGTTTGTGTGTTTAGGGACGGGGCGGGTAACGCGGCCGGCAATAACGCCATTGGTTGCAGTTGAAGTTATTAGTTATCTAATCTGACAGTAAACGGCTCATTGATAAGAATATTCTCAGAATTGTGGCCTCGAAATAAAACTCCGAGTCCATGACAAGAACGAGTACAAATACGGCTGATTCAAAGACAAAATCGAGACCTTCAAAAACTGGTCTTACTACAACATTTGATATTACTATACATTTCTATCATGAAGGAATGAAGCAGTGGTGTAGTGGTAACAAGAAATTTAAGGTGGGTACAGCAGTAAAAACGGTGGGTAACTATTTATATCCTTAACATTAGTGATCTCAAAAAAGGTGAGTAAACGCTGTTTTGTAAATTTAAAAGGTGCGTAAATGGCGTTTATGTGCATTTACCCTCCACTACACCACTGAATGAAGAATTTGCGTTAAGTAATCTGAATAATTGCAAAACTGTTGAATAACGTAGACCCAACTAATTATTAAATCGATTAATTGTTGCAGCCCTACTGAGGTCATTCACAAACAAACACACACACACACACACACACACACACACACAAATGAGACTGTAACCATTAGATTTCAAATTTAAGTAATGAAATATTGCAAATTCACAGTTTCAAAGTAAATTACACCACAAAACTACCACAAAAAGAGGAAATTAAGGTAGTGTGTTCACACAAGTGTACAAATTTTTAGGTAAATACAAATATAGTTCAAAACACTGTACAAACAAAACAAACAGCCCTTAAAACATCTTCCTCAGCACTAGTCCCCCCCCCCCATGTTTACTTGGCTATTACCTTTGCCAAAAGTAACATTAGTAAATCATTATTAGATAGACCAATTAACATACTGGCCTGTGAAGTATTACAGGAAGTCCTGTATAATGACCTTGGCTACACAGCAACGAAGAATATAGCCCTCCATTAACAGAAACATGCAAACTGGCGCTTTTATTCTTCACCCGACTACTGAGGCAGCTTGAATTCCTCCATTAAAGTCAACCCTAAAAAAATAAAAGAAAAACAATACAAATCATCATGTCTAGGTGCCGATTCACAAAAAGACTTTCAACATCTAAATTAGGAATATAGATTGGATTAAGTCGTACACATTACAGCGAGTAAACCTCATAGTACACACTACTTACATGTCGTCTTGTATTTGAAGGTTCCATTACAAAAATAACACTGACACATCATTCTCTCTCTATAGGGGAAATACGGTAATATGTCATCATTTGGTAACATGCTGGATGGAGGAGAACAAAAACATTTGTACCAATACATTACATTTCTTTGGCATGCATTCCTATCCAAGAAAAACAAAATACGTAAGAGATTAACAAGTTTGTCAGTTACTTATGAACTAAGAAACAATCTTTTAATTGCATGGGTGACTGAAATTAAAGGTTTGTTAATGTTTTACAGTTTTATATTTAATAAAATATACGTTACCCTTGTGTGGGTGTGCCTAAAAAAAGGAAACAATGGCTCATTCAGAAGTAAAATACAGTAAAAACTCACCAGTTTCTCCAGAACTACTGGATGTTCTGGCAAGAAGTCGGGTTTTCTTTTAGCGATAGGCGAGCTGGCTAGCTTAATCAGAAATTCCCTGCTATAGCAGATTCTTTCTAGAGAGACGGAAAAACGATACTATGCTTCAGAATACCTGACACTGAGAATTCACATCTTAAGAGCCAAAACTGTTCATACACAGCCGATCATTTCTGTGATCAAGGAAAAGGTAACAGAACTAGATTTGGTGGTGTCAGAAATGACCGCTCTGTATTACCAGACAGCCTCTCATTTGGTGAGCTTTCAATAAAACGTTTATGTTTTAATATTTATAATTAGGATCATATTGATCCTGAATGATCTGTTCACAACATAATGATTTTGTAAAGAAATAATAAGATTCATCAAATACATTTGACTTATCACATTCACAAAGTCAAATGTCATCTCCTTTTACCCTTCCCTCTGCTGGCACTAAATGGCATCGCTTTAATTTTGGGGCAATCTATCTCATAATTTTATCAGTTACATTCTGACTCCCCTACAATGCCTCAGCAAAGTTTAAAACAGATCCATCAAATGGTTGTTGGATTAAAGTCTTAATGCAATCAGGTGTCAAAACTGTCCTTTTTTTGACTACGTGGTACTGCTACAATTTTGGTGAAATCTGTCTAATCCGTTTTATTTCCTCACCCATGCAATGCCTGTCAAAGTTTGAAAAAGATCCAACAAACAGTTTTTAAGTTATTGGCTCGCATACCATAGTGACTGTGGGGATGGTGGCTGTAGCAACGAACTGGTGCTACTACCATATGTATTCCCTGAAAGCCTTGGAATACAATAATCAGGCAAGAGAAAATTTGAGCATGATGCTAATTTGTTACTGTTGCCTCTGTTACACACAAGCCGCAGCTGTAGTGAGCATGCTCACTGGAGAGTACTGAACGCTGACATGCAAAATAAGATTCCCATAGCCAGGCACACAACCATATTTTCATTATAATGTGACAGTGTAGAGATAAATAGCCCCAGCTAATTCTGCAGCAACATATTCCCCTTTGAATAATGTATTACGTCTTTATTCCCCAGTGACTGAAGAAATGCTAATGTGTGACAAAAAAAATCCTTATATATATTAATATATATAAAATTTGAAAATTCAAGTGAAAGTCACTGGAGAATATTAAAGTCCTATAATATAAATCAATGGATAAACAGTGTGGTGATACTGTGGATTTCAGTGTGTGTACTAGGTTTTGGTTTTGAGATTGATGTTATACAGTCTCTACATTTATGCTAAAATGGCACACTTGCTATTGGTTGACAGAAATTTAATGTATTCATTTTACATAACCAACAAGAACTGTTTGTGTGTTTTCTAACTAGGGTGTTTTAATTCTAAAAAGAACCAAAAAAGGTTCTGTAGAAACACTTGCCTTTTTTAGGTTGTTTTTTCTGGGTGTGAAGATGGATAATTTCATAAAACTGATCCACCCCAATTCCATTCATCTGTCCAACAGGAAAATCTATTAATACGCAACCAAACCCGATAATTCTTATAAACACAGAGAACATTTAAAATACCTAAAACTGCATGTTTTAATATTGAAAAAGCTGCTTAAAATCAGTTTGATTCTAAATTACAGGCAGTTTTAAATTCCATAGACCAGTGAAAGACCAGGATATGCTGAGAGAACTGTATATTAAACCAACAGATAAAAACAAACATACTGGTTTCTCCTTTATGTAAGGATATGGCACTCTTTCAATTTCTCCATTTCTTCGTGGTTCTAAATTGGGGAATAAAGGCAGGATTAATATACTATAACACAGAAAGGCTGCCAAGGTGATTAAACTATACTTGGCTTTTATGTTTCTTAAATACACATAAACAGCCCTGTGTTCTACATATACAGCATAAGCAGCAGATAAACAACATGACCCAGACATATTCAAACCTGAACTCCTGTCTCCTCTAACAAGTTAAATTCATACATCATATTTAAACCCCTGCGAAGCTGTCCTTTAATATCTTTAACACTATCAAACATTATACTATTCATCTGTGATACTATAATGTAAAATTCAATGCAGCATCATTCCCAGTGCATACTGAAATCCTGAACGCAGACACTTTCTGATTGAAATATGAGAAGGAAGTTATGTTTAATTTAAGAACGCACAGTCTTGTAGCAATCTTGAATAAATGGCTACATGGGTTTGGAACCAGAACAATACTTTAATTAAAATAACTATCCACAAAACACTACTGTTGGCCGTAACCCATCCAGCCCTGTACTGCTCTCACAGTGACTTTCACAATAACTCCAGTAACACAAGCACCTAACAATGTACACCCACATGAATGAAGATGCACCATAAGTCTGGGCACCTGCTTATGTACCCACAGGTACCCCAATTCCCCCTGCTCTTTAAAGGGGTATGCCACCCCCAATAAAGTAACAGAGGGTTATCATGAAATTCTTCAGCTGTAGGTACAGGATGCTACTTAAATAATCTTTGATTACACTATACGCTGCTCATGTTCATTAAGGGCAGGATGACACTTTCTCTCCCCAGAATCCTGTATATTTGGTTCAAATAACCTAGTCAAATATTCCAGACTGTAGTGCTCATGCATGGCAATCCATCAGGACAAGGAGAAATCCTTTGTCTCTCTAGAGCGGGGGTGTCAAACTCCAATCCTGGGGGGCCGGAGTCCTGCACATTTTTGGGTGTCCCCTCATTTAACACACCTGATTCAACTCCTTGTGCTAATTACCACACAGCTCTTGAATCATTTGTGGTGGAACAGGGAAAGAACTAAGCTACACAGGGTTCCGGCCCCCCAGGACTGGAGTGAACTAAGCTACACAGGGTTCCGGCCCCACAGGAGCGGAGTTTGACACCCCAGCTCTAGAGTAACCAGAAATGCACTTTTTTTTTGGACTTGGATTTCTTGAGGAGACAGGTCTTGAATTCACGTAAATATCACTTTTTTTTTTTTTTACTTAATTTTCAGGACATGGCAGAAAAGGACTTGACTAATCTATAGGCTGGGGATCTGAGAACAATATGGACACCAATAAACAGTAAATCACTTAATTACTGATTTTTTTTTATTAAACACCCAGAAGAACTTTCTAGCTTAATTCCAATAATTTTTCTCCAACACTTATTTTTTAAATAGCTATAGAAGTCTAGTGATTTGTGCTGCACACTAGTGCGCACCATTACAGACAAACTGGATCTACTCTTTTCAACTGGAAACGCCACACCTGCAGAGTGGGCAAAATCTATATGGCTCCCATGTTGGCTGATCCAGCAAATGCTTTTCCTGGGACTGGAAACCCAGTTTAAGCCAAAGCAGAAAAAACAGACGCGAAATGACAAACCAGCAATGAACGTACGTGTTATTTAAACTAGCTCACATGGCAGAGCAATTTTAGTAATCTTCTTACATTATTTCCTACGAACAAGCCATGATTAATAAAACCAGTTAGTATATTCCTTTATTTGAGCAAATATAAAAAATATCAAGGCAAGATATCAAGCCTAATAAACTCGTAATTTACCCGGATCAATGTTCAAGCGCCGGAGCGGCCTTGCGGGCTCGAGATGCTTGTTGTAGATTCTTCTTTTTGACAGCTCCATTTTTCTACTTAAAAAGAAAAAGATACCCGATAACACCAAGATAGCAACCAAAAACCATCCACAGCACTTGGTAAAACGTACATCTGACGGTTCGCTTTCATGCAATAACATCTAACATTATAAGCGTGCACTTCTGTCCCCTACAACTGATGTAACTTTGGAAAAATCTTTCTGACCAACGAAACGTCTCATTGCAGGTCTGTGGGGCTCACAGTTATCCAATTTCAGTTTGCTATGTGGTATAAACCAATAAAACACGCTAGTTAAACGTGTTGGGCTAAAATGCACCACGCCGCAGCTGACAAGCGTAGGAAATAAATCTACTTGTTAGCACTGATCGCCCATCTCGCCTACAAGCCACAGTAAACACGTCTTCTCGTTTTCAGTCTGGCCGGATATATATGTTCTATCGATGTCAAAAATGTCTATCGCTGAATATAATTGTGAATTGCATACGCGTTTACAGCGACAAACAGTTAGAAGCCGCGCGGATTCTCCCGGCTGCCAGGCCAGCAGCTGGTCCTTCTCTCCGCGTCCACTGCTGGCCGACACTTTGGTATTGTTATTACTTTTAGTTAACTTTGAAAAAGCTAATTGTGTGGCTCAGGATAAATATTTGACGAAATTGCTTATCCGCATACAGCTTGCTTTGGTTAATTTAAAAAAAAAGTTTTGCAGGCAGAACTGCCAGTTCGGCCATAGACACAGGTCCACCCTCCCAATACCATCCAGCAGCGGACCTCCGCAGCCTCAGGACAGCAATAGTGGCCAGACACGGCGGCGCTCCTATTTACTGCTGAATCCGGGTATCCGTGTGTTGGAGGTGAGGATTGCATGGTCCCACCCGATTCGGCCTGCGGGGGCTTTTTTCACTAAAGCTGCTGGCGGTTCAACAAGCTTCCGATTACATCGGATATTGATTAGGAGTCATGATCAAGATATTAACGTAAAGGTGTTAATTGGGGGAAAAAAACAGTATTCACTTTCATCGATTACAATGTAGGTTTTAAATTCATATCAAATATAAGGGAATGAACAGGCTTGGAGTGCCCATCTGGCAAACCGGGCATTTTCCCGGTGGGCTGGCAGAAATTATGGGATGTTACCGTTCACCGTGTAAAACCTCAAAATCCTGGGGACAGATGATATACAGAAACACCTGCTGGTTAAATATCGCCAGGGGGCGCTGCGTTACACAGGAAAAAGTGGGCAATATAAAATCCTCCTATTGATGACACGTCCTTTTTACGGTATAACTTTATCCCTGTTATTATGTTGTGATATGCTTAGTAGCCTGGATCCGCTCAAAAACAGGTGGATTTGATAGCGCAACTCTAATGCACTTTCATTTTGTCATGAGTGCTCATTCGTCACTTATAGGCCTAGAAGTACCTGTTAACAAAATATTTATAATTCATTATTGATTCTGCCCCCTAGATCGATTTTTCTTTTCCGCAAAAAATGACGTTGTTTTGCTAATCCTGGTCAGCAAGCTCGGCAAGATTCACCGCTTTTCCTGCTTATAAAGAAAACTTGCGACTCTTTTTCCGTATCGTGCTGCAGTGTAATTTACAAGGCTGTCTATAGTGAATTTAAAAGGATAGGTGTTTTGTAAGATCAGTTATTAGATATGAATGCAGTAGCCTACTTTTTCCTTAACTAGGCTTGGCTTTTACTTTTACTTGAGTGGTAGGCCTATTTTACTTGGTTAACCTTTACTTGAATAACGTTTTGGTGTGGTACTTTTCTTATGCCAAGTATAAAAATGAGTAGACCTATTTTTTCACTACTGTTTAATTCCACATAGGCCAACTGTAAAACAACATTGTAAATATGTCGTAGATTGTATTACCTTGCTAATGGAATTATTTTAGCATTTATTGTTTTCTCGTATAGCTAATACACTGAAAGGGTGATGATATTGTATATGGTGAGGTTGGTGTTAGTTTGCCCTTGTCGCTTTCTGAGCCCAGCTTTGCGGACGGGTATTCCGCCAGCACAGCATTATTATAATTCACAGCTTTAGCAGAGTGAAGCTTTTATGTTAATGATAGGCAAAATTACTTTTTTTGGGACAGTTCGTTTGATTCAGCTCACCTAAAAGATTCGTTTTGATGTCACTGGCACTTCCGGTCTGCATAAAATAGATCTGAAACACTTGCGTTCCTATGTCAAAAATAGCATATTATCAGCTAAATAGTGCTAAGGAGTACCACCCATAAGTCATGTGAGAGAAATATGTTATTTGTTTATAGTCTAAGTCTCTCAACATTGTACAGTAGCTAATGTTGTTTGTAAAAACGCAAACCTAACAGCTCATCATATAGTCAGCTAACGAGTACAAACGCTTGGTTATATAACTTTGGTTAATATCGTTTTAAATCATGAAAATGTTGCATCAATTAAATTCAGTTGCACCAAACAAAAAATCACTGCAAATGTAGGCTATATACTATACCAGTAGATGGTGTATTTCAGTCACAAACGAGGTATGGCTCTCCCGATCTGTAGCTGAGTCTCTCCTTCACCGACTCCTGCCCGTTCACTTTAGTCCGAGGTAAAGTTTCCAGCCAATCATATGCTCGCTTACATCACGCCCTTACATGCCTCACTGGCTCTCACTGGCCATAGTCGAGGAGGGAAACGGAAGAACGAAAAGAACGAACGAAGAACCCGTTCCCCGAGAAGGAATCGTTCGCGAATGTCACACCTATGGCAAGCCGTTTTAACATTTAATCGCTGGACTGGATATGTATTGCAGATATCTCTAATTCAATTCTTACTAGTCAAAAAGAGCATTTCAGATATCCATAATGGCGTTCTTCCTATCCAAAACTGTCATTTCAGATATCCACATCGTCATTCTTCCTAGGAGAAATTACGTCACTTTTGCCATTCATGTCTATTGGGCTTTCAATTTCAGATATCCGCAATTATATTTCAGATATCCAGAATGTTCATTCTGGATATCTGCAATTGAATTCTTACTAGGAAAACAATCCAGTTGTTACTGGTCATAATTTTAATTTCAGATATCAGAAAGGATACCACCATTTTAGGTATCCATAATGTAATTTTGTAATGTAAATTTTGACTAGTAACAATTGGATTGTAGATATCTGATTAGGAAGAATACAATTTTGACTAGGAGAAAAGCTATTTGAATATCTAAAATGTAATTACGGGTAGAAGTGTGACAATTAAATGTTATAATGGCTTGCCATACACACCTTTATTTTATACGTGCATATACCACTATGACTGGTGATGTACAGATCGTACATATGGCTCGTTTGTGTTGTGAGAAAATTACAGGATTAACAGTATTAGTACATGTAGGGCATGATTAGAGTTGTGGATAGTACAGTTACAATGCATCATCTTAAGGAAGAGCTTGCAGAATAAACTGATAATTGAAATTGTCATAAAAAACAAAATAACTAACAAAATAATACAATTAGGACCACAGTGGCTTGTATAGAGATCAGCATACGTTTAATACAATGTACGAAGTACAGCGACACCTGAATGCAACTTTCAAGACTGAAAATTGTACAGAACATACATTACAGTCTAAATATAGAAAAGAACAAACACATTTGTGACACAGTGGTCTCAAAATGTCTGACGTGTGCTCACAAAGCATACAGCTTATAATTATCATCTGGTACATGTCAATTAAGTATTGCACGATATTTTCATTGAGTGAAAGGTTTACAGGATGGTTATTACTTAAAGAAATTGCCTAGAATCTATCATCATTTTCCTGCTTTTACTGGAAAATTTGACCAGTAAATTTTCCCCATGGCATATTGTTTGTATGTTTATTGTTCATCAATGTTTACTTCATTTAGAAAATGAATCATGAATCTTTATTACACACACTTTACTAAGAGGTACCCCTCTCCTAACCAAAAAAAGTAAGGGGAATTTTGTCATGCAAACGCAGGAGGTTATCTCACACTATTTTAAAATGCATTTGACCAACAAATTAAAATTTTCACTGGGTCTGTACAAATAACCAGCATAAAGGAACCTGTTCTTTAACCTTTATTTTTATTAGGTTTGTGAGGTTTGCATTGTTACTGAGAAGCGGTATGGATTTGGTTTTCCTGTTCTCTTGTGCCCATTTGGTTTAATTAGATCATCCTATGTGCTTTGACAAGTGCTATTAAATCATATCAGAGGTAGAGTAAAACATTTTGCCATTAAAGACTTTGGAGTTTAAACAGGACAGGTAGAGATGGCTACACGTTATTAATATTCTTTCCCTGTGTGTAGCTGAAGTAAGATCATTCCCCCCATGTCTAGACTGTTATTGAAAACATTTTATGACAATATTTGAATCTGATCCCTTCGAGACATGAAGAACCTGGAAGAGAAGATCTCGCTGGTAAGACTGATCAAAGCTTCTACAAGGCCACACACACGTTGTAGCACCAGGGTTTGCACAGATGACCAATGAAGCTCTGGCGTGTATAAACAGCCTGTAATTGCCTTCTTTTGTGCTATGCTGCTCAGAGAATCACCCTTACTTTCTCATATTATGCAGCTTGACTTTGTCCTTACAGGAAAGAGCTCATGTTTGTATTATACATGGACATACTTTGTGTTGTGCATTGATCTTGAGAGTAGACATGGATACATTTTGACTTAAAATTCAGATTCTGTCTGTTCTTTCTTTGGCTGACCTCTCCATTTTCGCTCTTTCATAATACTGCCGACATCGACACCTCTGTTCTGTTGTGGTTGGGCCCCTGTTTGAAACTCTACCATCAGTTTTATCACATCTTCTGAAAAGCATCAAGGCTTGGTTCAACATAATGTATAAGCAGACTGAAGAAGCAGCTTTGAGGGGTTTTCTTCTTTTCAAAAGACCACCGACATCTCCCACACATATGGAAAAGCAGCTGTAAGTCTTAAATAACAAACGTAGGGGGTGTAGATAAGCTACAAATACATAGAATCATTTACCACTGGATATTATACACAGCATAACTGCATGACAGTACTACAATGCTAAATTGGTAAGTAAAGATGGGATGCAGGTGAAGAAAAGGAACACGGTCACTCATGAATTGGTTGTATGTTTCTAAATTGATTCTTTTTCTTCTGAAATCTCTGACCATTAGTTTATTTTGCAGAATTGGCAATATTGTGGTATCATAGTATAAAATGGCTGCCATATTTAATACGTGTGTCGCATGAGGACCCCATGATAGTCAACATTCTCAAAATGAGGCATTTGTGCTCTTAAATTCCTTTCTCTCTTCTTCCTGTTCAAAACCAGCCATCCATTCATTATTTTTAAAATGGGTTTTTAATCGTTTCTTACTAGCTAGGAGAGCTTTTCTTATCTACTGTAAATAAAGGTTGAGTATTAAGCCAAGGAAATGGAGAAGGACCATTGGAGGACAAATGTGTTGTTGTGCAGCTTCCTGCACATTTGTTTACAAGAATGGGAACCATAGTAAACAGCAACAATACTTGTATTGATAGAAACTGAGTAGTGCAACAATAATAAACACAAAATAGCAACTTTTTAAAATCAAAAGTCAATATGACTCATTACTAGGGGAGGAAAATTAAGGTTCGCAAAATACAAATCCAGACCAAAATTTTGTTTCAACCAACCATTTGAGTGCTCTGTGAATGTGACGCTTCATACTCATCTGACTGGTTGATTTGCACTTTCTGAACCTGAACTTTCTACCTTTGCTCAGTACTGGCCTTCTCCTTACTTGCACTACTCCAAAAAACAGGCTTTACAGAGGGCAGGGGGGGCAGGGGACATGCTAGTGTGGTGAGGTGTCAGTGGTCGGGGGCGTGTCAGGGCCAGATGTGGCCACAGTTGGAAGGTCCTCCTGGGGGCTGGTTTTGTCGGAGGAGCCAGCAGCAGGCCGTTGGTCACCCTGCGGGAGGGCTGCTGGGGTCTGAACACACACCTGGTGGTGCTTCTCCCAGTCTTTGTGCTGGCAGAAGGAGCCACAGTATCTTGCCGTGCTACAGCCGCTGCATGTCTCGCTGGCCTTCCGCCCACAGTTCCAGCAGCTCTGTGGAGGGGGCAGCAGAGAGACACTTGTAAATGCATGTGAACTAAAACCGAGAGAAAATGTATTCTTTATATAAAAGGATTCACATCAGAAGTACATGTTCAAAATGGCAGGTACAGGGATATAGTGTGTTCTGCAGCTGGAACATGGTAACTAAAAGTTTCAGCCTTTCATCGTTTTAAATAGAAATTATATATGTTTTCTTATTTAAAAAGTTATTTAAAAAATTTTTAATAAAAAAATTTATTCAGATTATGATTATTATTAGGTGACCATGCACACAACATTTCTCAGGAATCCTCATTCTGGGTCACCAGTGCCATATTCTCAGTGGCAGGCAGCCATAATTACTGATTTTTAAAAATATTATTATATCGTTATCTTGTAATATGTTTTTACTGGAACCTGCCTTCTTTTTATGCACTGTTCACAAACTTCTGTGCAATTGTCACAAAGCATCATTGATCCAATCAGGCTTGGACTGGCTATCTGGCATACCCCCACCCCCACCCCCCCGCCAATTGGCAAAATTCATCATGAGATCTGCCCCAGATGATCAAAATGTATCATGGGTATTTATGCATGGTGAGTCTGTCTGGGTAAAAGTCCAGGCCAATTGATAATCCCAGTCCAGCCCTGAATGCAGTCACTCCGTGAGACGACGCCCCCGGTTCTGACACGGTGCGGGGGCACCTGACCTCGGTGGAGTCCTCCTGCTGATTGATGACGGAGAGCAGGTCGTCGGTGGCCCGGCGCCTGGCTTCAGCCACGGTGCGCTCCATGCGGGCCCGCTCGGTGCGGATCATCTCCTGGGCCTTGCGCTCCGCCTCCGACACAGCGCTCTGCAGCTCCAGCATGGCCTGCTTCTTCACCTCGTTCACGGCCTCCTCTGCGGGGCCGTTTCCACACCGGTGTCACGTCAGTTCATGCCAGACTCACAATATAAATATTTATGTGAAAATATGTGGGCATTTTTTGCATTTCTTACAGTGCCTGAGGATATTCCAAGGAACACTGATGTTCAAAAAATTCCGAAAACAGGATTTTAATTTGCATTGCATGATGTAATGGATTGAAAATTGAAGTAAAATTATATATGAAATTACACATTAAATGTAATATTGATATAATATTTCAACCAATTAGTGGCATCACCTGCTTTATATGTGTAGAAACCCTGAAGGGTACAAATGCTTGGATCTCTCACCTGCTTTTTTCCAGATCTCCTCAGGCATACTGTCTGGTATATGTCTTTGGGGCAACTGTCTGTGAGTCTCTAAGAAGTGAAAAACAAGGAATTAAAATCTCACTGGCACACAGACACTGCACTCATGCAGCACGTCGACCCGCAACGCTGAAGATAACTGGCTCCTTCGCAACTGCATCCTTCTTACGTCCCTCACTCTTAAGCTGCTTTAGACAAAAAGGGTCTGTCAAATAAATGTAAACTGTATAACTTAAAAAACGTATTGGTATCATGCAGTATATGGTCAACAGAAAGGGCTCCTATGATGCTTGAAGAAGAGGGAAACTGAGGGTTTCCTATATTGGACTGTATTTAATGGCTATGATGCATTAAAATCCCAGACATTTTGCAGTACCGGGTGAGGTGGTGTTCTGGTCCCCTGATGTCACCCCTGTCGATTGACCGCTAGCACTGCTCTTCTTGGGGTCCTCCATGTCACTGCAGCGCCGGACCCAGTAGCTGAGCACCTCGCGGTCTGCCTCCTGGCAGCGTCGAAGCACAGTGAGGGAGTACCTGGTCCGCTCCACCATGTCCCTGATGCAGTTCAGCAGCTGCAACGGGCCACAAGCTCATTAACACAGGCAATTTTTTCTGGGGTGCAATTGTATCCCTTACTGGTCAGAACAAAATGCCATTTGAATATCCATCCTATACCTGATTGTAGGACTGTTGCGGTGAAGGAATTTCCCATGCGGTGCTTTAAGATGACTCAATACCATGATATTTGTAATATTTCAACATGGACACCAGTCCAAATGTGCACTTGGTTGGGCTCTGTCATCTTGTAGCCACTGCAGAAAAGCCCAGAATGACCTATGCTCACTACCTTAGTGGAACGTGATACTACGGAAAAACTTGCTAACGTGGGGAAACATGCCAACAGAATCAATCTTGCTAACTTAGCGGAACGCGATATCGTAAAGAATGTTGCTAATTTAGTGGAGCGTGATTACATAACAAAGCTTGCTAACTTAGTGGAATGCTAACTTAGTGGAATGCTAACTCAGTGGAATGCTAACGTAGTGGATACTACAAAGAAGATGACTATTTTAGTGAAGCATGATACAATGAAACTTTCTAACTGAAGCCTGTGAGACACCATAGGCAAGATTAAGTAAGTTTACTGGCACTGTAGCAGAGCATGCTAACATAATGAGGCTCGCTGATTCGATCGAACTTAGTGAGTGGAACACGCTACTGTAACAAGAATATGCAAGGTCAGTTGACATACTGTCATGTGGGAATTGATTTAAATGGGAAGAAAAACCACCATAAAGCTATTTTCCACTGCATGGTGATATAAGTGATGTCATTCACTGCATATTTAATGTTACTTTCAGTACATATTTATACGAAACCTGAACCTTAACACTTCCACGTCCTCCTGTTCTTACAGACACCTCATGGTGATTCAAACCCTTGCCAGCTACACCAACATGCACAGGAACCAACAGCGTACCAGGCAGAAATAATTATCTGTAAGTCTGTGGGAATTCTTCAATTAAGTAATGAATGAATAGCTCGTCTTCAGGATCCGTGTGGAGTTTGCACTCCCTGGGCAGGTGCACACATATTGTGGTTCACGCGGACACCGCAAGGGACTTCGTAATGAAAATGGAGCTACGTTTCTTACATGGTCAAGGTGCCTCCACTCCTCCGCCCACTCCCTGTCAGTGAGCCGGTGATCGATGGCCCCCTCCTGACGTCCCCCGACCATCCCTGTCACCGAGAAGGCAGAAACGGTACAGCTGCAGCAAATAAGCTCATTATAATCCCCGCGCCAGGTCTGTGTGCTGCGACAACCCCCCAGGCTCCATTCCTCAATGCTTACATGCCCAGACTGTCTGCACTGGGCCAGCAGAACCCAATTACAAAGGGGGGGGGGGGACTCATGGCTGCACATTTTTTGCTTGCTTTCTTCTTCTCTCAAACAAGATGCAGACCGGCTGTGGTTGCAGTTTCTCTAGCATGGCTCTAGGAACAAGTGAACCTCAGCCCAGGCCATTTGGAAAACACCTGCATTCATACGTTACATCATGACAACTGTCTGTCATACTCACAGATCTATTAATTGCAGTACACATTCTGACAGCATGATATTTATAAATCTATCCATCTTCTAACGGCTTAAGCTGCTCAGGGTGGCAGGGATATTTACAGCACTGTGCAAAAGTCTTAGGCAGTCAAAGGAGATGTTTAAAGCTATTTATCTAAGCAGTAAGTGTATATGTGCGCAAAACAAAAAACACGATTTAACATTAGAACCTACAAAAATTAGGAGCGACACAACAAAAACTAACAAGAATTTCCTCCATTCTCCAAAAATTTACTGATAACTTGTTGGATGGCTAGATAAAGGCTGCTTCAGTTCCCAAACCTCTCCTCAGGGCCACCCAGCCATTCCATGTATTTGTTACACTTCACATCCAGCTCAATTAATTATTCAATTGAATTAGTTTAAGAAAGTCAGTGAGGTATTAGTGGGGTACCGGTCAAAACACACGTGTTTATAGGATGGTGTTGTGAAGAGTGGGTGACTTAAGGGACTAAGCTGACACACTTAGACAGACATCATATCATAGTTTTACACCAACATGAAGATCATTTGAGCATCATCTTCTTAGGCTGCTTAAGACTTTTGCACAGCACTGTATATATGAGTTGTTTTATTTGGCATAGTTCTGATGATTATATATTATTTAAAGGTGTTTCCGTTATGTTGCCTGATTGCAAGGGGTCACACTGGCCTTCCCTTGACCCCCGGCCTGCTTACTGGATGGCCTGGCTCGTTCCCTGAGCTCCCGGCAGCTGGCCGGCCTATGGGAACTCCTCTGCTGATGAGTGACAGCTGTGCTGTCCAAACAGGCTTGCTGAGGAGGAGGCGTGGGGTGTGGCATGCCATTTGGCTGGTAGGGGCTAATTGTGCACCGCCTCTTTCCAGGGGGGCCCAGGGACTCCCGATTAGGACCATTCTCTTTGGTTCTGTGGATGAGAAAAAGGATCAATGTATCAGACGCCCCCTGATTACACTCTATGGCCAGGGCAGCACACGTAGACCTACTGTACCAATGTATCAGACCCCCCTGAATACACTCTATGGCCAGGGCAACACACATAGACCTACCAATGTATCAGACACCCCCTGATTACACTCTATGGCCAGGGCAGCACACGTAGACCTACCAATGTATCAGACCCCCCTGATTACACTCTATGGCCAGGGCAACACACGTAGACCTACCAATGTATTAGGCNCACACGTAGACCTACCAATGTATCAGACCCCCCTGATTACACTCTATGGCCAGGGCAACACACGTAGACCTACCAATGTATTAGGCACCTCCCCTGATTATACACTATGGCCAGGGTAGAACACGTAGACCTACCAATGTATCAGACGCCCCTGATTACACTCTATGGCCAGGGCAGCACACGTAGACCTACCAATGTATCAGACGCCCCCTGATTACACTCTATGGCCAGGGCAGCACACGTAGACCTACCAATGTATCAGACGCCCCCTGATTACACTCTATGGCCANATGTATCAGACGCCCCCTGATTACACTCTATGGCCAGGGCAGCACACGTAGACCTACCAATGTATCAGACGCCCCCTGATTACACTCTATGGCCAAGACAGCACACGTAGACCTACCAATGTATCAGACGCCCCATGATTACACTCTATGGCCAGGGCAGCACACGTGAATCTCTTACATCTTGCCTGTTCTTTTCACCATTTAACTAAAATCTGTTAATCCTGAGTTCTGTTTTGTTACAGTGTTTTTGACAATGTTTCTTCTTTTAATACTTTTCATTTTTTCCTTTAGAGACTCCCTTGGTTAATTTACAATTTTATGTAATAAAATGCATGCATAATATGTGCAGTAAATGTGAGGGTAACAATATGTTGAAACGATGTATTTTAACAGTGAGTCACGCAGCAGACAAGAACACAGAGGCATCACAGAGCCTGAAAACGGCGATGTGGCTTCACCTTTCTGGGAGCCTCTTCTTGCTGTTCCGACTGACGCCACATATCAGCTCAGAAGAGTCCATGGGTGAAGCAGTTCTGCTGTCAAGCAGCACGTGATCATGCTGGGCCAGATACTGGGCTGGATTCTGCTTGGCCACCCTGGCACAGTGAAGCAGCTCGTGCTGCAGCAGAGGAAGATTAGCCTGCAGAGGGAGCCGGAGACACGTCAGACTCCCACTGCTACCGCTGACATGTTACATTGTAGATATGAGCTTATCATTCATGGTCCACTTTAAATGTATATGGACAATGATTTAACAATTTATATCAGCCTCCATCATAAGAACTGTTTCATCATTCTTCTACATGCACACATGGATGGGTAGATAGATAGATAGATAGACAGATAGATAGATAGATAGATAGATAGATAGATAGATAGACTTCATTAATGCAGCAACATCAAGCATATATACATTTGCATTATACATTTACATAAGCACAATATTTGGTCTTTTATATAGTCTATTTGTTTCTAAACCCATTATTAGACCATAATTGAAACTGCAGACAAAATTATTTGAATTTCAGAGCCGAGCCTAAATAAGGTGGAGGTGGGGTAATGAGGTCGTTGCCATCTTGTCAACAGATGCCCGAATTGCTCGTTTAAGTGTTTACTCACCGGTTTTACCCCGCTCACGGCGCAATTAAAAGCACACCATTAACAAACACACGCCATCTGTCTTGCGGTGCGCGTGCGGCTTCCCTGAAACACGAGTGCGGCACGGGGAGAACTTTAACCCCGGTGTGCTTTGTGCTGGCTGGGTTTTCATTAAGCACAAGACACAGCCGAGCTGGACCAGGATGGAGCTGTAGCTTGAGCAGCCGCTAACGTCGCTGCGCGTTTGCGCTGATGTCGCCAGTGTACATCCGGGCAAATACACTTAGCCCATATTCATAATATCGTTCAGCTTTAATTATTTTAAATATAAAAGATTTTAAAGATAAGAGAAATGCACAGTTTAGCAACATACCACCTTAAAATGAGACTTTTACAAATACTGCAAGGCAGTGCAGGCTTCAGGCTGCACCCCACAACCCTCACCCAGATAAACTGCTAGGAGTTGGATGGATGGATGGATGGATGGATGAATGGATGGATAGATAATGCAGTGGTTCACAATCCTGTCCTTCGGCCTCCTCCCCTGGTCCACATTTATGTTCTCATCCAACATCTGCCTGTCTAGATCAATCAAGGGCGCCATTCAGCTCACTGAGACTCAGACTCAGTTCACTGAGACTCAGACTCAGCTCACTGAGATTCAGACTCCAGGTCAGTTCCTGAGGAATGATGAGATATAAGCTATAGTGTGGCTCTGCAGGTTGCGGTAGCCTCACAAAACCAAGAGCATACGGGCCTGGCTGAGCTCTGCGGCACCGTGAGCGCGCAGCATTCTGTTGTAAAACACTCCCGGGGAAAGACAGAAACGGCACTAAAAGTTGGGAGTGATCTTTAATTCCGACCCCGCTGAGGCCCTGAGAAAAACGGCCATATGGTGGAGAAGATGGGAGAGAGAGGAGCCGGCGAGCATTCCTGTTTGCTCCGCTGGCTCCTTCAGCTGCCAGCCTGACCCTAATGGGAGCCATATTTGCTGCTGAAGGCAGCCTGGAACTTTCTACAGCAATAAGAGAGAGGTGCTCACCTTAGCGCGTCTACTCACACAAGGGCGGAGACCTAACTAACACAAAGAGCATGTTTACCTCTCGGCACGACACGGTTTCGTTTAAATTCCTAACCTTGATGGGAAAGCGTATTACTTTAACGCTGAAGCAGCCATTACGCAATGCTTCGGTGAGTGGACGGGGACGTGTGACATCAGGAATATACTGAGTAACTTTGGGGATGACACAGTAAGAGGCACATCATTGTTGTACTTGCTTCTCTTCGAATGAGGCAGAACTCTAACATCTGTGACGTATTATTTTAATAAGACACATCTGCTGTCTCTTTATGGGAAAGACAATTAGCCTGGCTAGCTACGGGAAGAGCAACAGAGATGTTTTTGGGTTGGGTAGGGAAGCAGTATTTATGTGTGCAGCGAAAATATACATATATTATAGCTACATCCCGTATTCTGGACAACAGTAAGACAATTACAAGTTACAATAGCACAGCCACGTTAGTGACGTCAGTGTTACTCTTGATTAGACAGGTGCCAACATATTAGAAAAGACTGTATCTCTTCCAAATAGGTCCATTATCATTATTACAATGTATTTAATAAGGCAGGTATGGCTGACAATGTGTTTATTTGAATACTGACCATTAATACTGTATGATGGCAACTGATTAAGTCCATTACAAATATGGCATTCGTGTGGTATTAAATTGCATAACAGAAAGTTGTCAGTTTAATTACTAACAATAAATTATGCCGTTAGTTAACTGGAGTAATTAACTGTGGTAATACATTAACATAAATCTATTAATCATCTGTATTACTACAGTCTTTAGTGAGTTTAATTAAGCTTACATAAACCACATATCAATGTTTATACTAATAAAATTGCACAAGTATTTTGGAAAACAAGGAAAAAGTATTTATTTGCCTTGTTAAAATGTATTGCAGTGTATTTCTTGTAAGTAAATAAAAGAAATATTCACATCTGCACAGCACTCAGTTCATTTTAAAAAGCAGTGGATTCTGGGATACCTTCAGAAACGGCACAACAAATGGTCGCAGGGGGAAGTTTGTGGCCTCTTGCAGTTTGGAATGAAATTCCTCTATGGTTAAAGTAGAGTTCTGAAAAAGAGTAAGAGCGAGACTGAGATTAAATATGTACAACACTGGGTAAGGTGATCACTGGGCCAAAGAACCACCGTTCACACTGGAATTTCTATTAACAAGTGAACACCAGCCTACAACAGATTATGACCAATATCTGTGACCAGACATTTCACCAAGGAAACAATAATCCTTCTGGAATCTCACAAATCCTTACATGAATCCAAACAATGTTTAAATCACAAGTCACGTCCTTTTATCACCTTCAGTTCATTTCTCAGATTAAAACATTCAGAAACCTTCAAAGAAATATACATGCAAGCGGGTCGGCAAATCTAATACATTAAATAAATCATTAGCTATACAACTAAAATCTGCAGCCGCATCCTGGATTCCATCTCATGCTCTTACATCTGTTCATCTAGATTGCACTGGCTTCTTGTGATAGTCAGACAGCCTCCTAAGCTTTGATTTGGCTCTGCCCATGTAGATTACTTACTTTAACAAGGAGAACTAACGAGTAAAAAGTAAATGAGATGGAAGAGAGATAAAAACTGAGGCAGGACTTACCCAAAGTCGACGTTAAATGACAATCCCACAATTAGCTAGCAAGGGGATGCTCATGTGCATAAACGTGTCGGTGTACCGGCTCACACTCACCACGAGGCCCAGCACCAACGTGCGGACCTTCTCGCCGATCTCTGGGGAGATGTCACTGCCGAACTGCTGCAGCGTTATCAGGAAGCGCTTCAGTTTGCTGAGCTGCCGAGCGCCGCACACCAACGGGAGCTGCAGGCTGCCCGACGCGGACGACGAAGACGAGGAAGGGGAGGACGAGGAGGAGGATGAGGAAGAGGAAGGACGAGTGGTGAAGCCGCCCAGCGGAGAGGGGACTCCGTTCGACGTGGTGGGGGAGTGGCCGTTGCCATCGGTTACTGTGGAGAATCGTAAAAGTGCTACTTAGCTAACGAGTTCATTTTCGGTATGCTAACGTTATTTATAACGGGAAGGAAACTGGTGAGTTTTACAGCTGGTTTACATTGCCTCACGAGCTTTTCTTACGCTCACGTGATGGGGGCGTTAATGAGCTGGTCCTGGGAGCCGCTTGTGCTGTCGGAGGTGGTGGCATTGTGGGCGGAGTCACCCTGGGCTGAGTCTTCACATCGGCAGGTGAGTCTGGCATGATGAAGGGCTTCTCAGCACAACCTGGAGAGACCGGCAGAGATATCAACCGTTTAACATTAGTTACCTGCACTCACCTGGTTTCCGCACAGCCAGACGGAAGTTTCTCAGACAGCCAAACCCCCGGCACTCGTGGTGGCCAAAACTGTCACGCCACATCCTCATCTGGCCAGGACACGTGTCATGCGGCGCTCTCCAAAGACACACCTGACTTCAAGTCGGGCGCAGTGTTCAAGACGAGAGTCTAACAAGTCCCTGAACTCAAAGAGCGATCTTGGGGTGAGGCGGCACCGTGATGAGCCCAGGAGTGAGGCGGCACCGTGATGAGCCCAGGAGTGAGGCGGCACCGTGATGAGGCCAGGAGTGAGGCGGCACCGTGGTGAGGCCAGGAGTGAGGCGGCACCGTGGTGAGCCCAGGAGTGAGGCGGCACCGTGATGAGGCCAGGACAGTGTGGGGCTCATTAGCCAAGCCGCCACACCATCCCTGCGTACAACCCCTGCAGAACGCGCAGATGCTGCCCTCCTCCTGAAAACGACGGGTTGCCGGTCCCCCCCACCCCAGCACAGGAGTGGTTGTAAACAACTCCATATCTCAGAGAGCTATGCCGTCAATACACGACTGTTCGGGGACGCACTGTAACGAGTCCCCAAACGATCGTGGAGCCGGCATGCTGAGGTCTGGCCACTGGCAGGAGAGGATTTCTGTCTCAGTGCAGATTTCTTTAGCAAACCACTTCTACACCGATGCTACTGCTCCCCCACTGCACATCAGACTTTATATTACATGAGGCTGTATGTGGTACCTGAAAGAGATGAAAAGAGACTGTCTGCTGTTTGCATTTTCAGCTGAACTCTAACCAAGTGAAGTGATGTTCAGAATGTCTTAAATAACAATACAGACAAATGCCAAGAAAGGGCCACCTTCTTACTAAGAAAAAATGTTTTTTGAAGAACGAGGGGTGTCTGCTGAAACGAATCCAAATACCACCAAAGTGGTTGTGTGGCGACATACAGTAATAAAACTTTGAAGGAGTGCTTATCAGGATAGTTAGGGCATGAGCTTTAGCAAAAAATAAGGTGCAAATCGGTGCATTTTGACAAATAATGTGATAAAACACAAGAGCAGTTAATGTATCTGAAAATTCTCACTCAGAAGCTCATTTGACTCCCCTTCCTTTGGCTTTGGTAGGGGGGGTACATTAGCATACATTTAGGTTACAGATCAGCTTGTTACAGATTTCAGCTGTTCCGCTCAAAGGTCTCCTCTCCCCCACATTGCACACCATGCGGGGGGGGGGGTGTGTGACAGTGAGTGCCAGAAAGCAAAACCTTGTGTGCTTCAAGGAGGAAGGAAAAAGTTTCCATAAAATAATGCTCCTAAAATGTTGTATAAACGTTTTAATTTGCAAAAAAATATCCAAGAGGATTTTTCACAGGGCCAATTATTCCCAGATGGAAAGCAAAGGAATGTCTCCTAGTCTCCGTATTCCAAATATGCACTACATCTGTGGAAGACTGGAAAGTCACTGAAAAGGGACACATCATTGACATTTTATGGTGGACAGACATGCTGCTTCCAGTTCCCATAGCTTATTTCTGATCCTCTTTCTTATCCAGAATCTTGAAAAGAATATTCAATACGTCCGATTGGACTAACTGGGGTCTGAGATGTCCCACAGTTTTTCCAAAGCTTTGCCTCACTGTTCCATAGTTTCTGTGATCAGACCTTACCAAACTGGCAAAAATATATAGCTAAAAATTAAATCACTGTAAAGGTTAGCAGTTGAAGTACCTTATTACAGAAAAGTTAAGCTCATCTCAGTTTGTGTTCCTCACTAGTAGATCATACAGTATGTCACCAACTCTGGTCCTGGAGAGCTACTGTCCTGTACCTGGCTTCTCATGAGCCATGAGCCGTACCTGTTAGACCTGATCAGCTGCACAAAACCTGAACCTAGAAGATGCTGAACCCCCCCCCCCCCCCCGCCCCCAGGTCCACTGGGTGACCTGAACTACTGGCTGATGTCAGATGCGCGTCACAGACCCAGAAAGAAGGAGAGCAGGAGAGGACGAGTGCACCTACAATTTGCCATTAAAATTCCAGGGAAGGTAGAGGAACCTGCTCTTTTGTCATGAAAGTTCCCATTAACATATTCATTAAGGCGCGCTAATATGCGGCGGAATCCTCGGCACCAGATGGAGCAGCAGGCAGTCCGCATCCCGACCCCCTGGCTTGTCAGGAAGATGTAATTAATGTCACTTCCTCTCCCAGTCCCATTGTATTTCCTCTGCTTCTCTCCCCCCGTCCCCCACAGAATTTGCCGGGCCCGGCACGTGGGCTGTGCGTGTCTCTGGGCCCCGTGAGCACCGGATGGGTCCCCAGACGAGGCCGTGAGCCCCGGACCGGGACAGCCTCCCCACTGCCAGGTGGCACGCAGTCTTCCGTCTCGTCGGGAGAGCAAGGTCTCGACGACTCATCAGCCTGGGGGTCTCAGAGGGGCCTCCAGCTGCTCCGGCTAACAAGCCGCACTGCTTAATATTACACCTCTGCTGAAAACATGTCATTACGCTGTGGCACCGCCTGCTGAAGCGAGCCGAGGATGTAAACCAAAGCAGGACACAGTGACGGAGAGAAAACGCCATACTGCCATTGATATCAGCTGGATGGTATCATGCTTCCCTGTGGGATGAAAAAAATTTATCCAATCTAATCTAATTTAGTCCAGTCCCCCTTGGAAGTCAAATGTCAGCACGTTTGAGGACCACAGTCAAAGAGGGAACGGTTGCACTCACTTCTGAAATTTGGCCGATCAGTCTGTTGGCACGATACCCCCTCCCTCTTTGGCTGTTTACCGACAGTATGTAACATGTAATGAAGAATGAAAGTATGTATTGTCAGGTTAGGACACCAATACGTATGCCATGTGTGTGGGTGTTTGGGGACCATTTTTCAGGTCCCCAAAAAGATCTGTGAATGCAATCGAAAAACTAAAAATGCCAAATGTCTGGTATTTTGTTTGGTTACTTATGGTTAAGGTTAGGCCTGGGAAGGGGTTAAGGTTGTCGTGTTGGGATTAGAGTTCCTCCATTAGAAATGAATGGAGAGTCCCCACAGATACAATTACAAAACTGTGTGTATATGTGTGTGTGTAAAGGAAGTACAAAATTACAATGCACGACATTTAATCAATTTTCTAACCTCTCCCCCACCCCAGTCAGGGACGTAGGATCCCCGGTGTTTAATTTGGCTTAATTCATCCCCCCAATAAACAGACCTTTTTACTTAAATTATTAAGTTGAGTCCCCCCCATTTTAAACTCTCTCATACGCCGTTGCTAGGCTACAGTGTAGGGCCACGGCAAAAGAGGGAACGGTTACACGTCTGAAATTTGGCCGATCCATCTGTTGGCGCAATATCCCCCCTCCCCCGGAACGGCGAATTTTACTCCCGCCCCCACCCAGGTTATTCCCCTGAGGTTCGGGAACAGTTAATTCTTATGGAAATTAGGCTGGGTAATGCCCATCTCATTTAAAGCAGCTGTGGTTGTGCAACCTCAGTGACGATATTTGTCATTCCCGGCGCTCCTGCCGGTGACGCCTCGCCGCCGTCGGTAGCTGGAGGCTCCGCGGCACTTTGACCGAAGCCGCCGTGCCGCACGTCTCTGTCGGGGTGGAGAACCAGAGGCGGGTGTCGGACACAGCTGCTCGCGGCGCGGGATTTCAACGTGACGGAATGAAGCCGACAAATTTAAACCGAAACACCTGCGCGGTGCTTTCACTATCGTTTTACTCTTTTTCACCACAAAAATGTTTACCCACCTGGCCCGATACTTTTACACAGGCAAAAGATAACGGGCATGCTCTCATTTAATGTCGCGAGTTTACGCAGCTTGCCCTGTTTTAGAGGGATTTATGCGTGTGTGTGTGTGTGTGTCACCTCCCTGCCTGCTTCTGGAGGAAGCAGAGGCTTGATATCCCACACGGGGCCATTAGGCTGACACCGCGGGCAGGCGAGGGGCAGACGCGGGCACAGATGGAGAGCCGGCGCTCGGCGCTGCCCTCGGAGCAGAGACGCGAAGGGTGACGGGGACGAGCTCGCACGCAAAGACGCGCCCATCTGCCCCCCGGGCTGGAAACTGTGACGGGGGGTTTTATAGATATCCTCAGCAACACAAGCCCCCCCATCCCAGCTGACTGGTACGTTTCACAGTGCGGAAAGCGCAGAAAGGATGAAAAGGAGGACATAAAGGAGAAAAAGAAGAAAGCTCACAGTTTAACGGAAGGGAGAGACTCAAAACGGGATGGAAGATTAGTCTAAAAAAAAGTATGGGACACAGCATGACAGAATATAACAGAGAATGAAGATGTAAAAAAAAAAATCGTTTCCAGAAACGCACTTCCTGTGTATATGTATTCAGTGCTGAAAAAGGAACATTCACCATCTGTTTACCATTTCCCAGAGCAGCGGATAACACACAGGAGGAAGTGTCGCTTTCGGGACAGGCTCGGTTCCTTTGTTGGCAGCTTATTCACATCAAATTAAGTCCCCCCATAAACTCTAATTTAATGGGGGGATTTTTTTTCACTTACGGTATCACTGCAGGCTATGGGCTATGTAATAATTTCAGGGATTTCAATGCAGAATCAATTTCATCAACATAGTTGTAGCAAAGTGCAGCTTAAATACACATGAATGCGGTTAAGATAACTGCTTTAAAATGAACTAAGTATTTTAAGCATAAAATTAAAAACGGAATGTTTTGATCGTGTTTGGGCGAATCACAAAATATGAAAACAAGACATCAGATTATATACAAAAACAGGCAAAGTGTGACTTTGAAGGCCCTTTTCCCATGGCCACTTCTCTCACTTCCATGGAAATAAAGCAGCAATCTGTGGCCTATAAGCTTCCTTCTCCTCTCCTGCAACCCAGCAGCCTTACTCTGTTTGTTCGCCCTCTTTGTGAGAAGATACCATCTGATCACCCTTATCCTCACTGTCACTGGTGGGTCTACAAGAGACACATGTTCCTGTTCACTAAACATGGACGCACCATTGCATTAATAACTGCATATGTCTGATAGCCCAGGAACAACCACCGGAGCATTTGTCTACATCAAGAGAAGAATGTCCCACTGGCTTTCACTAGTCTGCCGCCTTGACATCGCCTACGTACTGTCCCCTTGAAAAGAAAGGGTTATGTCGTTTCCATGTTCTTTCTACAGTGTGCTCCAAGAAATGTGAGTTGACTGGTGTTTTTTGAGTAGGCATGGGCAGATACCAGTGCTTCGTGGTGTAGAGTGATTTGGAAACGCAGCCTACCATTTTCTTCCCATTTCCATGCTCTCTGGACCACAAAGGCCCTGATTTTTCACACAGCTGGAAGCGATTATACAATTCCAGAAAAAGGACTCATCCCTCATTCAGAGTGTCAAATGGAAAGTCAAAATATTTACTCACATCTCTTAACCGAGCCAAAAGCCACAGCTTCACCGCCGGTCGTTAAAAGCGAATGCTAAATGAAAGCATATTAGAAACGCAAAAGAGTAACGCGAAGGGGGCGGGACCCTGACCCTAGAGTAACTACTCCAGCCCAGAAAACTGGTTTGTAGGTGGGAATGGGAACAGTCCAGCTCTCAAGTCAGCCTACTGAAAAAAACCATCGACAGTAAGCTGCAGTCAGTCCCCAGTCTCAAGGTCAGAGCATCCTTAACAGCTGCGGAAATACGCCACTTTTTTTAACAAGAATGATACATGAATATAGCTTCTTAAAACATATCTGCCATTTGATTCATGGTGACTATTACAGTCATTCATGCCATTGACACCAGGAGCATAAGTACCAGGGTTGGGAGGGATGTGCACCCAATATTTCATCTAGCTTCATTCATCCCCCCAATAAATCAACCTATGTATTTAAATTATGAAGTGGACTCTCCCATAATTTAAGCTCTCTCTTACGCTGTTGGCTCACACTAAATGGTGAGGAATTATTTTTCTGCTGTTATCAACAAACACTGCTGGCTGTCTAGAAGCAAATGTAGAAATTTTGGTCAATCGAGGATCTGAAGCAGGACTGAAGATGGAAGCAAGTCAGTGAATCACCATGGATGTCACTGAAGTTACAAACTCTCAGGCAGATAGGTACCCAAACTCTTATTGGCCTCTCAAGTGGTGTATGTCTATATCAGTAGTAGGCCTACTGTACAATAATTCATTTTGCTCTGACCTACCTTGGGGAGCACACTAATCTGCAATTGTTTCCATGACGACATGGACCTCATTCTCATTGCGACGTCTGCAGAACAGTCACGCATCTTGTAAGCGTACACAAGCATGCGCCAAGTGCAAGATGTTTGACAAAAAAACAGCAGACAGACCTTGTTCCTCATTGACAGCTTAAGGAAATCCTTCCTAGCCCGTTTGTTTACATAGACATTTGTTGTTATGGGATCTAACTCAAGGGATCGTTTAATGTATTTGCAGGCTTGCTGTACATTAAGTTTCACATAATACAAGAGGTTACTAGTTCATGGACCTTTATAGTGTTGTGTAGATCCTATACATGCAACAACATAGAAAATGATCAAGTATTATTCCACGATTTGTTTTTTTTTTTTTGGTGCACTTATGCAATAAGTTGTGTACACTGTTGTTTACTGTCTTAACTGTTTTCAGATTGTGCTGTGCTAATAAGACAAAAACTATCTGCAATGAGATCCATCACCCATCCATCCATCTTCTAAATGCTAATCCCAGTCTGGGTTTCAGTATGAGATACATTCATTATCAAACAGGAAAATGATCAAGTTTGAGTCATGTTATGTATTTAATATCACTGTAAAGATGTAAATGCCAGCTTCAGTAAGACATACATGTTCACCATGTTTTTATTCACAAAACTGGACAAAAGGTGATATTTGCGTAGCTATTTTTTACATTTAGCTTGTCTC